CCCCAAAACCCCAAAACCCCAAAACCCCAAAACCCCACTTTGCAATCCAAAGATTGAACACTAGGAAAATTACTAAAAGTCCTCTTCATCATCATGCCCGAAATAATTCATAGAGGAACTCTTATCTACAGGTGGATCAATTTTCGCCTTTGTCTCCTCTACAGTACTTATATCTCTTGTCTTATATTGACCCTTTCTCGACTTGTGCTTCCACCATAATATACAGCTATCTTTCTTCTCACGGAAAAAGTAGATAAACGCAATCACTAGCTTCATTAACACATTTCCTCAAATAATGATCTATAAATGAGGCAGTATACTTACTGTGAGGATAAGAATGTACACTGTTTCACGATTCTTGTTCAGATAGACCATTCCATATCCGTAAGCAACGTTAAGGGCTCCCCAAACTATGAGGTAGAGAGATCTGAACTGTTCAAGGCTCTTCCTAGTCTCTTCTGCATTTTTCTCATCAGTCTCTCTATTACCCCAACTCACATCATGAAGGTTGGCCATTGAGTAGATAATTATGATGTTGATGTAAGTCGGAGACAAGAATATCAAGATTAATACTCCTAAGCAATATTTCCATAATTTCATTCTATTCCAGTTCAACAAAGGAGGAAGGATGTATGACCCCAATAAGGTCACTAAGAGTAACCCAGCAACGTATATATTAGTGCTCTTCTCCCAGAAATAGCTGAACCCAACTCCAATTGAGAGGAATATGAATATTCCAAAGATTATGACATATATAGTGTATATTTTCCCTGATCTTGATATAGGCTTAGTGAGAGCTAGTAGCACGAAAATAAATAAAAGACAGAGATAGCTATATGTGAATCCTTTGATGAAGGTAAACTGGCTACAGTCCTCCTCTTTGAAGAATGCTTGGATGAATATTGTGAATGAAGCATACAGGGATCCAACTAGAAGAATAGAGAAAATAAAGTTTAACATCATGTATAAGTATAACCCAAATAGTGACATCTTTCTACATCAAGAATGCCCAGACCTTCTTATCATTGTGATATGATCTAAAACGTACCATGAAGCAAAAAGACTCCCATTAGTCCAGCGACGTCTTTGCTTAATAAGGCCTATCACACTATCTGGAGGATCTGTAAGAGCAATTCATCCTGGTACATAACGGAGAACCCATGACTCACTGTATTTTCTGAGGATTTCCAAGCACATCACCTAAAATTATAGAAAGAAATTACTCTATCTTCAGCAAGATACATATTAGCTTCCTTTGCAGTATGCTTATCTTTTTCAAGTCCTTTAAAGAATGATCTCAGGGGATCCCCATTGATTGCTTTCCAACGAAAGGTTCAGAATGCCCCTGGAAGTACAGAAACAAATCCAAACACAGATTCAAAGGACTTGTCAAGGTAATGGGAGATTTTATATTCCACATATTGTGCGAATACCAAACATTTTGCTTCAAACTTAGAAAATATAGATCGTTGAGTCTTCTCTAACCATGTGTCATCATCAATTTTTTGGATAATACCTTTCTTTACCTTCTTGTTCAGCCCTTCATCTGTTTCTTCTTGGAGAATATCTATTATTTCTGGATCATCAATTTTGTTCCAGCCGTAGCCTAACTCCCTCTCGCTTGGCTGGAAAGTTTCTATTTCTCCACATGCCCCTCCAGTATCTGTGAACTCATCCATGTATAAGATAATCTTGGAGATACTGTTGTTCAGAGGAATTGTTCCTGCATCAAGCATCTGTCAGTACTGAGGATTAGTCGGCGCGCAGAATCCTTTGAAAAACCACAAATGACTCTCTATTTTTCCAGAATTTTCGTGTTTAGCACAGAAGAAGAATTTTATATCTGGGATTTTGTAACTCTTCTTACCTTTTTCTAGAGGAAGGTTAGACTAAGATTACTTACTTATGATCCAATTGTAAGGGTTTCGTAAAGGTGACTCTTTATGGAGGTTCACAAGATATGGAGACATCCTGCCACTATCTTTCTTCCCAAAATAAATATTAGGATCTTCTCTTTCACTGAACATTTCCTTAATTCTATTCTCATCGAGCTTAGTAGAGAAGATATGTCCAACGTTTTTGGTTGCGTATTTGTAGTTTTCACAGCGAAAATTTTGGATATCTTTTGCCTTTTTGATATTCTCCCTTTTATTTTATCTAAAAGTTCATTTTGCTCAGTACCTCTTCTGGAGTTGTGATTTGGGCACTTTTCTTTTCAAACTTTTTCTTTACATGCTTCTTGATATCTCTTTTACAAACAGTGTGACAACATAGAGCAGGGTCAAATAACTCATATTCAATCATTTTGTCGACAAATGGGGCAGGTAGTTTGTCAATTCCATCTAAAAGTATTGCTGTAAAGCTTACCTCAAATGAGAACAATTCCCATTCCATCTGCATGGTATTGGGGATTTCCATTAGATCTAGAAATAGTTATTTGGAAGGATAAACAAAATTTTACATTGCCTTGTCATGAAGCTCTCAGATGTTTCTAATACATCCAGCAAGAGTTTGAAGTATCTGACTCCATTCTTCTTGATACATAGTGATACAAAACATTAGTTTCGGCCCCCTATGTTCGTTTGATTCATCTGCTTGCGTCTCTCTTGCATTTTCAGGCTTTAGAGGATAACTAAAATCTTTAAGCTCATTGAAATATGAACCCTCAGGAATTTTGAGATCTGGCTCTAAGATACTCTCTGAATATATTCTAAGATCATTATAGATCGTTCCTATTTCAGTGGTCTGTTCAATAATACTTGCGGGGAAGTATTGCAAAGAATTCTCCTTATAGATGCATTCATCCTTGTCTTTAACAACAAAGTCAAACTTTTGTAAATCTCTATCGTTTTTATCAAAGAACTAAATTATGTTATTCCAAGGGTGATTTCTACTTACTTCCTTGATTGCCTTTTCTTTAGCTTTCAACAACCTGATCTTCCTCCTTTCTTCTGGGGTTAATTTCTTCTTCTCTCTTTTCTTTCTTTTAGATTGCTCTTTAGTTATAGTCTCTTGAGTCTTTTCTTCCTCTTTATGTCCTTTTCTTTCTTCTTTTTCTTCTTTTTGTTCTTCTTTTACTTGTTCTTCCTCCTCTTCCTTCCCTCTTCTTCCTCTCCTTCCTCTTCTTCCTCTCCTTCCTCTTCTTCCTCTTCTTCGTTAAATCTAAAATTCTGTTTAAACTCCTCTTCAGCTTTGTCTCCAGCTTCTTTTTCAAGTATTTGTCTGTGTTCAAGAATTTGATTCATTATTTGTTTAAAATTATCCAAAAATTTGCTTAAAAAAGGGGTTTTGGGGTTTTGGGGTTTTGGGG